CTCAATTGTAAAGCATGTATAAAGGAAATATTTAGAATAAAGCCAATATATAAACTTCCTTTCCGTATAGACGTATTTACGTCAAATTCTCCGGAACCGTGGTTCCACTGACAACTTTTTGCCGAAGAAACGTGCGTACAGACTAGAGAACATTTACTCACTTCCATTTTATTCGTCCAATGTAAAGAATACTCTTTGTACAGCCCTACAGACATTTCTCCATCTGGGGCTCGATTCAGTCCATGCAGCCAGTATGACTCATGCTGGGGTAGACCTCATTCGAAAACGAAAGTTCTCCAAAATCAATCCACTTTCACTTCTCGTACCACAAGCGATGAAGGACAGAAAATATTCGATTTGAGATTCTCACAGCGGTCAAGAGATCGTCTTCTGGATTGTGACTCCGTGTCGACTTACAGGTATATGCCCTGATGATGAAAGCAGTATATTTATTCGAAACATTGGTATGTACCAGTGTTCACGGCGTCATTTCTCAGAATACCAACATCGACGGTGAAGTAGTCCCACGCTTTGTAGATGTATGGGGGGACTGGAAGTATAGCTCCACCCATTCACGTATTGGATAAGAGCCTGGATGGGCTGTAGGTTCGGTCTGGATTTTCCTGAGGACATTCGAACCCGAGTCGATCAACTCTATCAGCCCGGCTTTAATTTCACTTATTTTGGAACTACACAAAATGGCGACAAGTTCATTACAGAAATCGGTTTAGTAACAGTTTGTTCTTAAATAATGAGGGACATCAGACGATGGATATCATTGCCAAGGTCAGCTGATCGATTTTGTGTGGTTCCCGTGAGGAAAAAAAAACACATAACAGGTCAACTCGTCAGTAACTTGTGACTTCTGTTCGGGAGGTACGAGGTTCGAGTCTCATATTTCATGGTTAATTTCAGTTCTTAATAATCTGTTACTGAAACTGTGACTGAACCGCGAAGTAGGCCGAGAGAGAGCTTAACTGATTACTTTAGCATCATTATCAGGTCATCAAATACAACCTCACGACTTTCGTAGTTTTCCAACGTTGTTAAGTTCGGGTAAGCTATGATCAACCGTGATGTCATTCTCAAAAAAATTACGTATTAGAATTTATCAGACGTTTGATGGTGACAGACAGTCTTCTTGTACTCTCGTAGAAGTTGGCAATGTAACTATTTATTCCCGATATTCGATCGTTCCTCGAATCTATGTAATATTTTCTTTGGGTGACTTTTTTAATATCTTTTTTGCCCGTGTTGCAGACATAGTAATAATTAGAATAGCATCTTGTTGAAATAGAATCATATGAGTCGAAGTCTTACGACTTTTTCTTTCATCTTTCCAAATACTGACTCATATTCACTAATTTTAAAGAACAGACATTACAGGGCCATAGTTTAATTTTGGAGTTGACCTTTACACTTCATATCCGAGCCCACGAGCCCACCTGATTTATATGGTAATTGAAACATTGGCGCGACAGACTTTACTCTCACGATGTCCTTTTGGCAGAAGCGTATAGTGAGGAAGTGGTCGTGTACTTGTCAAAACCGCATAATCTGCGTGCTTGCTTGAGACTATATTTGAGTATGATCTAACTTCACGTCATTATGTTTCTGTCAGCAACATGAAGATAGCAATTCAATGTAAATTTACGTAAAAGGTCTTTTTCCAGCTATGAAATAGACTGTGGTAGTTACACACTTCCTCCCGTTTCTCGCAATTCTCTGTCCGTCAACCGTATCACCCGCTAACGGTTCAGTTATGACGTAGAAATTTAGGCTGCCTCCTAAAGCATCTGTTAATAGCATTAAAGTTACACTTCTAATAGTATGCCATCTATTTTCTAAAAGACCAAACTAAACAGCCAATCCCCAAATTTTCAGCTGCGTTCGAAAACAAAGACAGCTTCCTAAACATCTTCGTTTCAGAACTCCAGACGAAGGAAGAAAATTCAATAATAGTGACAGGCGTAATTATAATTTTGCATATTTTAATCCTGGAACGTCTAAGTATCTTCCTGAATGTGATTTTGATTTTCTGCTGCAGCTCCGAAGTATAAAACATAACCTAACTCTGGTGCTCTGCGTATCGATTACATTCGAAACCCGTCATTGGGCGATATTTTACCTGTTTTGACAGCAGTGGCGCCATTATCTTCTGAACTGCCACGTGAATGACTGATGATGTCTGGTGACACAGATTGCGATATCTTTGATTGTCGTGTTGAGCCCATGTTAACACGGCGAAGCTAGCTGGCATAAAATTTACATACATGACTGCGTTTAACATATCGATCAATCGATATGTCAGTAAGCACCAATTTTAGAACCGTAGCACCGGGCAGCGACTGGACCACTGTCGATTCAGTTTTGTTCATCCACGGGTTATCTGGTGATGTTAAATCAAGTGCACGCATGATCATGGACTAAAAGACACGAGGAACATGGGATAGCCGTCGAGAATGCAGACATTCGAACCTGACACATCACGAGCACATTCTAGTAACGTTAAACTTTGCTGGGTATAGCATTCTCGCGTCGTTTCAACCGATACTAGGGTCCATATCCGCCACTGATGTCCTACTGATACTTTAACCGGATATTATAATCGCTCACTTTGTCTGAACACAATTTTCGATTATGATGGTTTGACCTCTACGGATCAGAAAGGATCTGGCTGTGGAATTTAGGCTTGTATTTCTCATACGGATGGGGTTTTTCAGCAGCAAAATTCAGGTGAGAAATTTTTCAAAGATTTCGGTCGAAAAATTTGACCTAGGCCAAAGCTTATACAGGAGGATATTCAAATTGGGGTAGACTGGGGTAAGTTAAAATGGATCTTTGGGAAAATGGGTTGGAGGTGTGGAATGGATTCGTTTGGCTCAGGATAAGAAACGGTGGCTGGCTTCCATAAAAATTGGGCAATTTCCTGATTAGCCTCATGTTTCGGCGCTGTAGCACACGATAAAACAACCAATTTTAATCTAATAATACCCAGATTGTAACACTGGAGGCAGATGTTTTAGCTCAGTCAGTTTCGTGGCTGTAATAAATGATGATGGAGGCAGCAATGACCTCTGAAACGTCGGTAAACCTACGGTGCAACAACCCATAAACAACCATCTTCAAACTCACCGCCGTGAAAACCTCAAATCCTACGTGTAATAAATGATATTTGATGTTCTCACTGTGGTGAGTTTGCCTTCTGCGCTGTGACGTCGTTTCGGAGGAGCGTATTTTTTTTTCATGCCAGGCCTGAACTGCAACCGCTTTGTTACCCGTCCTCCTAAACTCTACGTACAGCTGTCGCTACCTGAGAGCCATACCATCTGCAGAGAGGGGGCAAGGCTTAGGTACAGTCTGTGCTCTTTGTATGTAGAACTTATATTTCTGATAAAATAAGTTTCATCTCTGGTTTCTCCCGCATTCTTTATTTTCTTTGCGTTTTCCATCCATGGATACATGAGCGGTAAAAATGGAACTACTTAGATCGCCCGCTTCAAAAGGAGAAACGGTTTGCTTTGATAATTTAACGACCTGACAAAGTAAATAAATATCTCAGAATAGTTTCATGGCTTCTTTGTGATCTTGTTCGTGTGATGAGCAACTTCCTACAGTGGAACGTGGTTCGTATCAGAAGAGACTGAAATGGAAGTAAACCACAGGGATAGCAACGCATTACGTGTCATTTCTACGTTCACAAATTATCATTAAGACGTATCCCTCTTCGTAAATTAATCACCAACTGTGCATTTATTAGTTTCATGAGGACTCTGTTTCACGGAGTACTGCGTCCATCATCAATGTGATTATGACGTCAGGAAGCACCTCTGAAAAGTCGGCAAACTTCTACCAGACAACGCGGCGAACAATTACAAAACACAGCATTGCGGACTCTTAAAGAACTTGGACTTCTTGAGACAAATAGAGAAAATGCTAAACAGACAGCCGTAGTTTAAAATGAAGGTTTCCATCGTCTTCCTACTCAAAAAGAAATGCAATAATGTGGGCAAAGTAGTGGGTTATTTGTCATTGTACAGTAACACATGGCCATATTCGTATCGACGTCCGTTGTCATGTTGGGTGTGCGTACCAGTTTGCCGTTGACGGTTGAAAGGATGAGGGGGGAGATACCCCCCTCTACATATCCTGCGGTGGTCGCCATTAATATAGCCTTGTATTCCTTCCTCGTCTCCAGCACGAAACGTGGGGAGACCTGTTTGGCGGGGCTGTTTCGTAATGCCAACTTAACAACGCAAAATGTGTCTATGTCTGGTTCCTCCTGCCAAAGCAACTTTAATCCACTGTCATTAGTGCCATAATTATTCATTGCTAAAAGTAACAAATTATTTTATAAATATTAATTTCATAATGTTACATTGCGACAAAGGTTATCTAAATGTCTGTGAAATGCCGTATTAATTTCCGTTTGATATTGTATAATAAAATTGGGCGTTTTTAAAAAGGATTTTTATGTTCAATTTTAATTTACTATGGACATGTTTCAAAACTTCTCTTCAAAACCCAATAGCAACAATGAACTATTGATACCGGATGGCATTTTCCATCTTTATTATCAGCATTACTGTAGCTAAATGACTTTGGTTCGCCATCTAACACAAACATCATTACGGTGTTCACTGGAGCCCGTTGCCAGTCCCTGTCTCGAGCCACGTGAATTCAGTCCTCGCCCTCTAACCTATTTTATCAAGATTAATTTTAATATTATCCTCCAATCCACCCCAAGGTATTTCGATTGCTCTTCTCTTCAGGACTTCTAACCACAATTTTGTACGTGTTTCTCATCTCCCTATGCATGCTGCATCCACCGCCCATTTCATTTTCCTTGACTTGATGATCCTAGTAAATTTGGTGAATTATGCAGCTCACTTACAACACAGTCTGTTACGGGATCTTTATGACTTTTCTTGGTATTAGAAACGACTTTTTGGACGTAAATACGTCTACATTGAAGGGTCATTCGGCAAAAAAGGGAAACGAAAAAGTGTAACCTGGTTACCTAGGAAACGTCAATTGTTTACTCGGCATTGTTGTCACCTAGGAAACGTCATCTGTTTACTCGGCATTATTGGCAATTATTGTTGTGCTTTAAAAGTAGGGCCTTTCGTAACACTGCGGTGCTATATCGAAGTGGGAATATTAATTGGATTTGAGCGACTCATATTCACATCTTTTTATGGGATTAAATATTGGCAACGTTGACTATTCAAGTTCACAATCAAAATAGTGGATCATTTTTAAAGGTAAGACATGAGATGTTCCTGTTTGGAATTACGTGAAGCTTTCTCAGAAGTTTTTCTCCTTGTTGGAAAATGATGCAGCCTCAAAAGAGGAAAGGAGCGTAAAATTAGGGAAGGAAAATTGTAAATATTACGAAACTGTTATTCGTATAACATTGCTGCGCTGCTTTTCTGGTGATATTTCTTTAAACTTGGCTGAGCTGTTTTACGTCACTCCATCCATTCAAAATTGACCAATGAGGTTTGAGTAAGGGCGTTTCTTGTAATGCTTGAAAAATCCGTTAGGAGGCCCAGCGACAGACTATTGCAGTTCACTTCGGCTGCGTTCACCACGTAGAGAGGTTCGATAAAGAAGCGTTGTAGTTATACACAAGACAAGAAAATGAGGGAAATCGTACATATCCAGGCTGGCCAGTGCGGAAATCAAATTGGTGCTAAGGTAAGAATATTCTTATGTGATATGTAGAAAAAATGTTTAAGTTAATCTGTAGGAATGTATGGTTTAGGGTGGGGTTAGGCAAGGTGGAAGGTGATAGAATGGAATTGTTCCGTTTTATATTAGTTTCTTGAAGGAATATTTTCAGTAATATATCCTAATTGAGGTTTTCGGCATTGTAGCTAACGTTTATTTATCTAGTAACCACCCTTAACATATTATTAGTTCCAAAGTAAATTATTTTCGTCTTCCGCCATTGTATGTGAAGTACGTTTACACATTTCATTCGTATGTCGTGCTTTAGTAATAATTTCCTTGGAAGTGTAGAAATGGGTTGGGGAGTAAAGTATCACATTTCAACATGTTTTATAACAAGTTACAGCCTTGGTTGCTGGAATGTGACTGATTACTTTTAATTGTTTTACATGCCGTAGCGTATTGAGTTGGCTTGATCGAAATTTGTTCGTCGTGATTCGTCGTCAGTATCATGCTCGTAGAAGTTGACAGTTGAATTCTCGAGTATTTGCACTTTTGCGTTTTCGTTCATTTAAGAGGCCTTTATTTGAGTGATGTGAGGAACGCGGGAAAGCCG